CCCCAAAACCCCAAAACCCCAAAACCCCAAAACCCCAAAACCCCGATAAATATTCTTGTATTGAATTTATGAAAATCAGGGTTCTACCCTATCAGACTTGTCAATTTCTCAGCATATGTTCCCTTGGCTCTACTGCTCTTAGATGAGCTTGCTACTGAGCTATGAAACTGTCTTGAAGATGCTGATCCTATATGGTTAAATAGTTTTCTTACCTGTAGATTTTAATCCATAGAATCTCTTCAGATGTTTGCCAAACATTGGGTGCCTTTGCATATTCATTTCATGTTTTTGCAATCTCTTTTGGTTTAAAGCAGAGGTTTTCTTCGGTTGTTTTACACTAAAATTTCTTTCATTGATATCTCCAATTTTAGCACCATGAGGAGGTTTATCAAGTCCGTAAAATTCTGCAAAATTATCTTGGAAAATACTTCCTTTCTCACTAGACTTGTAGCTCTCCCCGTGGAAGTTAGCAGCATCTCTTTTAAAATGCTGAGTATTTTCAATATTCATCAGATCAGGAGTAGTGCTTCTATTCTGAGAGTGTGAGTTCTTCTGGTATTCATTAATCATCTGTTGTGTAGTCATCTCCTTCCTAGCAGAAGACTGAACTGTCCCAGGACGTGGCTTATTAATCTCGTTAGTACCGTAAAAGACATGCTTTGCATTACTCATTTCACTCCTTTCTGATAGAGGAATGCCATAAAATTTCTTTGAGTTTCTTCCATATGCTTTATTTTTGATCATCCTCAGGTTGAATAGTTCTATGTCTTGGGGGTAGTTTCTGTTTACAGCCCTTTTGAATAGTTTTGAAGTCAACTTCTTGCAGAAATCCAGGAGTGGCAGAATGAAATTTTCCAAGATCTCTCTTAAAGTTCTCCTTATCAAAATTAATGGGCTTTTCAACCTTTGGCTTTTTCAAATGGTCTCTATTCGTATTGAGAGGAGCAGTAGAAGGCTTGTTTGAATTAAATTGAATGTTTTCTCCATAGCCATTAAATTTTCCTTCTAGCTCTTGTACTCCTATCAGAGGATAATCTGGATTGAGAGGGTTAACAACTCTGTTTGTGCTAGGAGCTTTTCTGAGAGTTCCAACTTGTGCTCCAGGAATGTCATTAGTGTGATTGACCTCTCTAACTTCTCTTCTTTTATGTATCCTAAAAGCTTTTAAGCCCTTTGTCCCTGGTCTAGTGCCTTCAATATCTTCAACATTGAGGCAGAGAGCATTAGGTCCTTTCTTCCTAATAAACGGCTTCTTTGGTCAACTACCTTCAATTTGTCCGATTTCTTCGACTTTTCCATCAACAGCCCTGTGAGAATAAGAAGGGTTTAAAGGATTGGTACATCTTTGAGTCTTGAATTGATCATGAGTTACATCTCTATAATCCAGACTTGAGTACTTTGTCCTTCTCGTTGGATATGGTTTTGGTTTAGTTCCCTTTATATCATCCACTTTAAGGTTATCCCTTGTTTCAAAGTACTTGGTCTTCTTAGGCTTAGACCCTTCGATATCATCATTGCTGATATTATCCCTGATGAATTTAGGAGGCTCTACTTCAACAGCTTCAAATTTTGGAAGGCTGTAACTAGGGTTCAAAGGATTTACTGTTCTGTTAGTATGAAACTTTTGAAATTTAGGTTTGCTTTTATCAATATCATTATTAGTCAAGTTATACTCAGGTTTATTCAACCCAATATGAAGAGCAAGAGGTCCAGATCTGTCAACATCCCAATTTTGGTTTGCATATGTGACCTTGTTATTATATTGATAGCCTGGGACTTTAGTCTTTGCTCCATCAATTCCTTCAACACTTAAGCTTTGGTTCCAGTGACGGTTAGACTCGAACTTCCTAACATTTTTATTCAAAAAGTCTTGGCCTTCGTTGATGGTCGATAAGCCCATAAGCTGTGATCTTTGAGGAAATGGGTAGTCAAAAGGGTTCGGCTGGTGAGAAATCGGATTCATTTCAAATATAAATTTAAAATTACTCTTTGAAACGGGGTTTTGGGGTTTTGGGGTTTTGGGGTTTTGGGG